TGTAATTCCAGTTACTTGGGAGGCTGAGGCGGGAGGATAGCTTAAGCCCAGGAGGTGATGCTGCAGTGACCCAAGGTTATACCACTGTACTCCAGCCTGGGTGATAGAGCCAGACCTTGTCTCAAAAAAAAAAAAAAAAAAAAAAAAAAAAGAAAGAAAAAAGCAAAAAAACATATGTTCTTAGAACACATAAAAATAATTTGCCAGGCATTTTTTTCTCCTACAAATATTATTTTTACTAATAACAAAAGTCCAGATCACATTCTTCTGAAATCAAGGTTTCCATGATAAAAGCCTTGACATTCCAAGTTTTTGTCTTTTCAGTGTCAGTTAACAGTTTGAATTTTTCTTTTTTTTTCTACACTTGTATCATGGTTTAACATCATACTAAATGTTCACAGAAAATTAATGACATATGCATCAAACATTTCAATTTAATCAGGCTTCTATTAAAAAGCAATCTCTTGCATGATATATAGAAATGCGAGCAGAGGTACTAGTTAGAGAGCAGTCTATTGCACAAGGCAGAGAGTGATTTTGCTTGTTGTCTAGCAGAAGTTCTATTAGGCAATGTCATAACTCCAAATAATACCCAATACTCCTAACGCTTAAAATTTTCAAACTCAAAGAGCTGTTTGCCGTTCATAGGTCCACAGGGTGAGCATATTTATCGTAATTCAGGTGTTTTTTTTTTTTTTTTTTTGCAACATTTTATCACTAATTTCAGTGAGCAGACCTTCAGAATCATGTACACGTCTGATCCATATACAACTAAATGTCCAAAGATACACCAAGTGGGTGGAAAGAATAACAACAACAAAAACTTTTTTATCCATGCCAGGCATGGTGGTGCAAGCCTGTAGTCTCAGCCATTCAGGAGACTGAGGCAGGAGGATCACTTGAGCCCAGGTGTTTGAAGTTGCAATGAGCTACCATTGCACCACTGCACTCCAGCATGGGTGACAGATTCAGACCGTCTCAAAAAAAAAAAAAAAAAAAACCAAACAAACAAAAGAAAAAGAAAAACCTTGTTTGTCCCACTGCTCTCAGTGGAACACACAGCGTCTCATGTGTTAATTTCAACAGTAGGTTCTACTAAACCATTTTTTAAAAAAATTCATGAGCCTGGCTGGGTGCAGTGGCTCATGCTTGTAATCCCAGCACTTACATTGGGAGGCCCGAGGTGGGCAGATCACCTGAGGTCAGTAGTTTGAGACCAACCTGGCCAACATGGTGAAACCCCGTTTCAAAAAAAAAAAAAAAATTCAAAATACCTTGATAAGAACAAAGGTTTCCAGTGTTAGAAACAGGAGAATACCTTTAGGACTCCGGTTTTAGGTACATTTTATTTTATTTTATTATTATTTTTTTGAGACGGAGTCTTGCTCCATTGCCCAGGCTGGAGTGCAGTGACACAACATTGCTCATTGCAACCTCTACCTCCTGCATTCAAGTGATTCTCCTGCCTCAACCTCCTGAGTAGCTAGGACTACAGGTGTGTGCCACCATTCCCAGCTAATTTTTGTATTTTTTAGTAGAGATAAGGTTTCAATATGTTGGCCACAGTGATCTCAAACTCCTGGCCACAGGTAATCTACCTGTCTCAGCCTCCCAAAGTGCTGAGATTACAGGCTTGAGCCACTGTGCCGGCCTAGGTATATTTTCCAACACAGGGTTATGAAATGTCCCAGCCTTCTTTTGCCAGAGAGAGATGAGACACTGGGGAAGGTAGCAAGAGACTCCAGGTGTGGGAGGAGGGGCTTCAAAACGTTCTATGTCACCTCCAAAGGCACTCTGGGCAACCAGGTGCAAAAGAATTAGAAGTGACCCCTATTCAGATTCACCCAGACTGGATGAAGCAGGAGTTCTTGGTATTAGTAATCGTCAGCTAAGCATGGTGGTTCACACCTATAAATCTCAGATTCTTGGGAAGCTGATGTGGGAGAATCCTTGAGCCCAGCAGTTTGAGACCAGCCTAGGCAACACAGTGAAGGCTCCATCTCCACAAATACTAAAAAATAAAAATATTTAAAGAATTAGCTGGTTGTGATGGTGCACACCTGTAGTCCCAGACAGGAGAATGAGACAGGAGGATCTCTGAAGCCCAAGAGTTTCAGGCTTCAGTAAGCTATGATTGCGCCACTGTACTCTAGCCTGAGCAACAGAGAGAGACCCAGTCTCTCTCTCTCTTTATATATATATATATAATTGCAAAACGTTTCCTCAGCCTAAGACCTTGTAGGTCTTTTAGAAGCATGATCACAGACACAAACACAGATCCTACATTTGCCCTATCTGAGCTACTGGAATCTTTAGTCCTTCTGAGAAGTGGGGGGTTGGTGGTGGAGCGACTCTTTTAAGTCTGGGTGCCCTGAGAACACCCCTTCTGGTATCCACTTCTGTCCCTTGGTCCTCCAAGCTGCCCTTATGAAAGATGGCAGTTCCTTTCCCCTGGTCCCCATTTTCACTTCTGCAGTAAAAAGGAATTAAAAAAAAAAAATCCTTGTCAGTTTTCAGCCAAAGTCTCTGAAATTTATTGCAAATTACCTTTAGAAAGTTAAATGTGGCCTGGCGCAGTGGCTCACTCCTGTAATCCCAGCACTTTGGGAGGCCAAGGTGAGCTGACCACCTGAGGTCAGGAGTTTGAGACCAACCTGGTCAATGTGGTGAAACCCCCATCTCTACTAAAATTACAAAAATTAGCTAGATGTGGTGACAGATGCCTGTAATCCTAGCTACTCGGAAGGCTGAGGCAAGAGAATTGCTTGAACCCTAAAGGCAGAGGTTACAGTGAGCTGAGATGGCACCATTGCACTCCATCCAGCCTGGGCAACAAGAGTGAAACTCCATCTCAAAAAAAGGGGGAAAAAAAAAAGAAAGAAAGAAAGAAAGAAAGTTAAATGCATCCGTTTTCACAGCCTGACTTCCCCAAGAGTGGAACAGAGCTCCAGAGCTCTCTCTGGACCACAGGTGGGAGTTGGCAGCACTGCTCAGGCAGATGTCATCCTGGGACCAAGGACCAAACATTTTCTTACTTGTTGATCAAAAGAATTAGGGGCCACTTAACATTCTGTCATTTACACCTGTAGTTCCAGTATTTTATGTTACTCAAGAATATATATTTTATTTTGAAGTGAAATTATAGAAAAAATAAAGAATATTGCTTTTAGACTGAGCATGGTGGCTCATGCCTATAATCCCAGTACTTTGGGAGGCCAAGGTGGGAGAACTGCTTGAGGCCAGGACCAGCCTGGGCAACATAGTCACATCTTGTCTCTACAAAAAATTAGTTGAGTGCAGTGGTGCACCCTGTTAGTCCCAGCTACTTGGGAGGCTGAGTGGAAGGATAGCTTGAGCCAAGGAATTCAAGGCTGGGGTGTGAATTCCTGGGATTGTGCCAGTGCCCTCCAGCCTGTGTGACACAGCAGTATCTTGTCTCTAAAGAAAAATAAAAATAAATAAATAAATAAACTGCCTTAAAAAAACATTAGCCAGGTGTGGTGGCACACACCTGTAATTCCAGCTACTCAGGAGGCTGAGGTAGGAGGACAGCTTGATCCCCAGATTTGGAGGCTGCAGTGAGCCACAATCACACCACTGTACTCCAGCCTGGGTGACAGAGGGGAGACCCTGTCTCCAAAAAGAAAAAAAAAATATGTATAATCAACTTCAAAAATAGATGCAATGTATATTTAGTAATCTAAGTATCTATGTAAAAATGCTATGTTTGACTCATTGGCAGGTATAAGTTCTTGGCCCAGTGTTCTTTATTAAAAAAACAGCTTTCATTGTCGCTGTGGTGACGTCATTTTTCTTTCAGAGGATTATTACTTTTTAAAAGCTTCTTTAAAAGCTTCTTAAATTCCAAGTTAAAGCTGTTACATTCTAACCCAATCTCAGAGCTGATTGGCTCAAAACCTCTGTGGGCCAGTAATGCTACATTACCCTGGAGGGGCAGGCATCGTGGGGGTCAGGGAGCTGACAAAGCCAGCCCTCCTACTGGCCAGCACGCACATTCCAGGGGATAAATAGGATTAAGTGCTCTAAAGAGGATTCCCAGCCCTCCCGCAAAGGAGGATCAAACACTCTGGTCTATTTCTGGAAAAAAAAAAACAAAAAAAAACAAAAAAAAACCACACACGAAAAAAAACCCAGAGAAGGAGAAAGTGCCAGTTTAAACAGCAGGTGGCCCTATCCCAAGCCTCGGCTCTTCCTCTTACCCCCATCTCTGGATGGCTGGGGAGAGCCCTTTTCTGCAGGTTAAGTGTGCGCACTGTGTCCAAGTCCATGAGAGTGGGTTCAATCCACCCTTTTTGGTTTCCTAAATAGGGCCAGCCCCTGGGTGGCAGTGGGAGGTCACGACCTCAAATCTCTTCTAGCTGTTCTTGGGGAAGAATGGATAAACTCTGCCAGGAAGCGCTGGCGAGCCTTAGAGAAAGCCCTTTGTATGAACTGCTCTGGGCACACTCTCCTAAATTTAGGCCCCGAAAGATGAAGGTAATAAAAACTGCTGACATCTGATTGCAATTTGTTTCTTGTCCGAGAAACAGACCAACTAACGACATAGAGCCAAACAGCACCCCTCTGCAAGCTTCACTCCACCCCATCCCACTTTTCAAACTGTCCCACGCGGAGAGGGGGCGACACCGGCAGGAGTGGGGGTTTACAGGACTCCCTGTAAAGACGCCCCAACAGCACACGTGTTAACTCATTAACTCAGAGGGATCTGAGGACACTGTGACGGTTTTCTATTAATAGGGAATAAAGCTCCTGCAGACATTAGCGGTAATGCCCTGATCGCCCGCGCAAAGTTAACTCCTCCACGGCCAGAAAGAGGAAACCGTGTCCTGTCCAGGCAGAAGTGCGCTGGAAACGCGCGTCCCCATACACACACGGGGTTTTAGGACCGCTCCCCTTGACCAGGCCAGACCCCACACCCATCCCGAGTCTTGTCTCCGGGGAGGGATCGGGTGGGTGGGCAGGCGGCCGTCGGGTGTCCGTCAGCTCAGCTTCGCCACGCACACGGCTAGGGCCACAGCCGCCAGCAGCACGGCGGCGAAAAGGATGGCGGCCAGGGCCTTCCTGGGGTCGAAGCCCCCTTGGCGCTCCTCCACCGACACAACCGAGGAGGGGCCGGCGCCGACCGTGGACAGGAGCTCGGCGCCAGGCGCCTGCCGGGCTTGCACGGTCCAGCGGGGCACGTTGACTTTCATCTCCATGTTGTCGATCATCTCGCCCACCTGAAGGACCTCGCGCTCCAGCTCGCGCAGGTCCGCGACGTCGAAGTCGCCCTCCGCCTCGAGCCGCAGGCTGCGGGTGCTCAGCGCGCGCGCCGCCACGCCGGAGGAGGCGCCCGCCACGCCCGTGCACACCAGCGGCCGCCGCGGTGCGTGCAGCGGGAACGCGGCGCCCAGGTCCAGCGCGCGTCGCATGTCCGCTTCCAGCAGGTCCAGGCAGCCCGAGAAGGCCACCCAGAGCCGCTCGAACTCCGCGCGCTCGTCGGCGGCCAGGCTCCGGTCGCGGAGCACGGCAGTCAGCCGGGAGCAGGTGGCCACTGCCAGCTCCTGCGCTTTCTGGCGCGTCTTTTGCAGCTCCTGCCGCAGGTTCTGCGAGTCCGCCGAGCCGCCGACGGTCAGCACCAGGTGGTGGTAGCACGCGGTCGTCTTGTTGAGCCCGTCCAGCAGCGCCTTGCACTCCTCCCTCGCCATCGCGGCGCGCTCTGGCGGGGACCGGCCGCCCGCGCCCCTGTTGGCCTCCCCCTCAGCGCGGCAGGACGCGGCCAGCCCCCGTCCAGGCCTCGGGCCGCGCGGGCCGAACGCTCCTCATGGTCCGTGACTCGCTCGGCGCTGCTGCCAACGTCCACGGAACCCGCCCGGGAGCCTCGACGAGCGCCTCAGCGGACTGGGCACGGAGAGGGAACCCCGTCAGCGGTCCCCCGCCCCCTCGTTCATCCTCCCCAGGCGCTCACACGCCGAGTCTCTGCGCAGCCCTGGCCTCCACGTTGGCTCCTCGCGAAGCTGAGGGTGCGGTCCCCATCCTCTACGGGTACCGACCCCGGGGCGAGCAGGCGGCAGAGCAGTGCGCTCCGCCTTAGGCGCTGCCAAGGGCGGCCGGGTCGGGTTTCCTAGGACACGCCCACCCCGCCTCCCCGGCCAGAGCTGCCAGCCCCTGGATCAGGGGTAGGCGGGGCTCCGCACTGGGAGGTCACGTGTGGGTCGCCCATCCCTCCCTCCTCTTCACCCCATCCGAGTTCTGGAATGTTAGCGCTCTGGAGATCCAACCTGTCCTATTTCATGGATGGGGAAACTGGTAAAAAGGGAGCCAGGCTCCCGCGGAGTTTTTGCCAATGAGGGGACTAGAACCCAGGGATACTGACTCCCGGATCCTGTCAGCGACAGGACGTGGGGTGCCCCTCAGGACTGGGCACCTCCGTGCCCCAAAGCGCGCAGTGACTGGCAATCCCAGGGGCTGGGCGCTGACCGGGTCGGATGCCTCCGCAGCATCGCGCTCTGGCTGGCCCCGGCTTCCGAGCGCGGACCCCACCCCTAGTGTCAGCCCAGCTCCCGGCTCCGCCCCTCCCTTTTCTGGGCACGCGCAGTTGCTGACGCGGGGCGGGGCCAGCTGGAGTAGGAAGCACAGGGAGCCGTCTGAGCCCCGCCTCCGGCTGGGCTGGACTCAATGATTGCTCTGCGCACACGTCACTCTGGGAAAGAACGGTTGCTCATTGGGCCGGCCATGGCGCGGCTCCGCCCCACGGCGAAGTAAGTAGGGGGGCTGTAGGGCAAGATCGCCGTGTGAGGGTGGTGGCAAAGAGGTCCCAGCCGCGGACCTGGGAGGTGACGCTGCCGCCCGGGATGGGCTGGGAGTGAAGCGATGTAGCCTTTTAAGTAAGTGTCCTCGCGCTGGCCTTCTCCCGCCTGTCCCCTTGCGTGGGACGGCTGCGTCTCGGGGCCCGGCTGCGGGGCAGGGCCCCGAGAGCGAGGGGGGAGGGGCTCCCTGCTCTCCGCAGTCCGCTCCCGGGTCCGCCAGGTGGCCCGGCGGTGCCCCAACCCTAGCGCCCCCAGGTGGGTGTCCCGTCCGCAGCCGGCGCACCCTGCACACTCCGCCCCTCGGGTCTGGAGGAGAGGGAGTGGTCCGCACGGAGAATGCGTGCTGTGAGCCCCGCTGCGTCGACACTGGCGGGTGGGGCCGGGGTCCCGGGTCCGGGCGGCTCAGACTTGGCGGGGCGCGGGGCCGTCGCCGCGCTGTTTCCTGGAGGCCTAGGGACTGGTGGAGGGCAGACGGCGGGTGGGGGTCCGAGCCGCGCGCCTGGCGGTTGTGGTTTCCGGAGGTGCTGAGGGCACAAAGCGGGGAATCCCTGTCTGCCGGCCTCTCTCGGGGCGGGGTCTCTGCATCCCCCCAGGTAAAGATGGCTAAAGTAAAACTCTTACAGAGAGATGTTCTGGACTCTGAGTCTGTTCTCTCTTTTGGCTGAAAATGGACTGCCCCGGAGCGCACGAGCCACGCGGCGCCCCCTTGGCCGCCCCTCGAGGTTCAGGGGACGTGGACAGTCACAGCCCGTGCTGGGCGAAGGAGCAAGGGACTGGTCTTCACTGAGGAATTAGAGCATGCAGGGAACGAGGGCTCCTGGCAGTGCTGGAAGGGACTGTGAGGCTGCAGAGAGCTGGGATTTTATAAGTTGATGAGTTTCGTGGAGAGAGGCCCCTATTTTGATTAAATAATGCACTCTTTGTACTGGCCGAAGAGTAGAGCAGTGGATTTTCTTTTAAAAAAAAATTTTTTTTTTTCGTTTTGTTTTTTTTTTTTTTTTCTTTTCGAAACAGGGTCTGGCTCTGTTGGCCAGGCTGGAGTGCAGTCTTGCCACCGTAGCTCACTGTAGCCTCAAACTCCTGGACTCAAGCAATCCTCCCACCTCAGCCTTTGCAGTAGCTGGGACTACAGGCACATGCCTCTATGCAGGACTAATTTTTTTATTTTTTTTTTTAGAGATGGGGTCTTGCTAGGTTGCCCAGGCTGATCTTGAACTCCAGGCCTCAAGCCATCCTCTTGTCTTGGCCTTCTAAAGTGTTGGAGTTACATGCATGAGCCACCACGTTTTGCTGAGCAGTAGCTCTTATTGTTTCAAGATCACCCTGGCGTCAGGCCTGGTGTTGAGGCGCCTTGAGGGTCTGAAGCACTGAGCCCCAGGACCTGCTGTCACTCAGGGGTCCGTCCTTTAACTGGGTGAGCAGTAGGCTGAGTGTTTGCTGCCAGGGCTTGGGTACTCCTGGCCTTGACCATTGTATGGGAGTGGGGGGTCTCAGCCACCCACACACTACATAGGGTCATTCCCAGGGGAATAGTAGTTTTCAGGATGAAATGGGTGGAAAGCTGGGAAACCCATCTTTAAGGATAGCTTTGGGGACAGCAGAGCATGACAAAGCTGCAGAGGTGGCCAGAGGTCAGACAAGCCAAGTCCTGAGCACCTAGCAGAGAAGTTGAGGGCTCATCTGGTGGGGAGTGGAGGTGAAGCCTTTGAGGAATCCTGCAGAGCTCAGCATTGGAAAAATCAGTTTGTTGTGTTGCTGGTGGACAGGTGTGAGTGAAATCCAGGGGGCAGATCCAGGAGGCACAGCCTGGAGGCCTTGGGGAAGCGGATGCAGGATGGTGCAGAAACAGAGACTTCTCCTGGCCAGCCCTAGGGACAGGAAAGCACCTGGGGCTTTGACGTTGGATAGACTTACATTCCCAGCTTACACCCAGCCTTGCCGGGTTACCTGAAATAATCTTGGCCAGCGGCTTCCCTGGGAGGGCAGGCAGAGGTGTCTGCAGAGGGTAGGGGGTTAGGGTCTTCGTTGTGCCTCTCGTGGCTGTTGGACTGTGTCTCCTTCACGAAGACCTGCCGCTAGGTCTTTGTTAGTGATGTTTCTGTGTCCTGGTTAGGGTGTCTGTGGCATCTGCTCTGCTGGGACTCTTCCTGTCTATCATTTGCCAGCATTAGGCTGGTGTCCAATGACTCCACCCTCTCACAGAGGAGCAGAGGAATGTGACCATGTCATGATAGATACCAAGCCTAGAAAGGATTCATTCAGTCCAGAAGGATCCAGACTTGATTTGTCCTGAGGTTGATTATCTGAGGAACACTGAGAAGTGGCCCTAGAGCTCCTGCTCATCCGTCCAAGATGCTGGTGCAGAGATGGGTGCAAGGTGGTTCTCCCTGTGGTCCGGGAACAGGGTGATGCAGTGGCGTTCGAAGGGGCTGTTGTGCTCCTCCATGCTTTCCTGCTCCCTGCATAGTCTCACCCTGGTTCCAGTCCTGGGCCTTCTCTCTGACCCTGTTTATTCCAGCTGTCACCGTGTTTGGCTAGTGCTGAGCACTTTGATTGTTTTGGACTTTTTGCCTTTGTGCCTGCTTGGCTATGACCTGGGGCTAGCCTCTCACCTACCCTGGATGTGGGCGGTGGAGTTCCAGCTCCTGTGAGAGATGACCTCTCCTTGGGAGCTTGGGCTTCCTCTTAATGCCTCACTATCATTTTGTTCAAGTGGATGAGCGGTTACTCCATGTCTGCAGGGAGCCAGGCGCAGGGCTGGGTGCTTTGATGAGAAGCTTTGAGAAGAATACGGACAGGATCTATATATGTTATAGGCCAGAAAGGACACAAGTGACTGTAACAGCATACATTACGTCACCACATTGCATCCATTGGTATGAAAAATAGATGAATAAAAAGTTTTCGTTTTTTGCCTTTTCCTTCTGAATCATACATTAGACCTAATGGAGAATACTGCTCGTTGGGAAGTGTTCCTGGTCACAGGGTTTGGTCAGAGCCCTGGAAGGGTAGGAACAGCCATCACAGTGAGATTTCAGCAGGGAGTGCGTCTCTAAGGAGGCTGAATTTTCCATGCTGCATTCTGCTGAGCTGGGCTGCACACTGTCACCAGATGGTTCCTGACCACCCAGACTTATCTGGGCTAGCAGGACGGTTGAAGACCACAAAACCACGAGTGTGCACACTGCCGCCTGAAATACTAGTTTGAGGCCTTGCATGGCTCTTCTCTTCGTAGAATGACTGCGGATAACTCACATTCAGGGGTATTTGGTATTTCCAGCTATCTCAACTGGATTTTCTGTACATTTTCTCCTCATTTGAACCCAGGCAGGAATGAAATATTTTTAAAGAAGTTCTATAAGATTCACTTATCTTTCCATGTTATTATTTTTTTCTTTCTTTCCATGTTATTTTAAAATAGCAAGCTAATTCTTTTTTTTTTTTTTTTCCCTTTGAGACAAGGTCTCACTCTATTGTCTAGGCTGAGTGCAGTGGCCTGTTCTCGGCTCACTGCAACCTCTGCCTCCCAGGTTCAAGAGATTCTTGTTCCTCAGCCTCCCAAGTAGCTGGGATTACAGGCATGGGCCACCACACCCAGCAAATTGTATTTTTAGTAGAGTTCACCATGTTGGCCAGGCTGGTCTCAAACTCCTGACCTCAAGTGATCCACCTCCCTCAGCCTCCCAAAGTGCTGGGATTACAGGTGTGAGCCAGTGTGCCCAGCCAGCAAACTATTTCTTGCAGGTAAACTTGACAGGATGTAAAACTGTTTTTTAAGCATTTACCCTTACATAAGAACTCAACTCTGGCATTAAGCATCAGATCATATGATATTATTACATTTATTTATTTTTTGAGACAGGGTCTTATTTGCTCTGTCGCCTAGGCTAGAGTGCAGTGGTGCAATCATAACTCATTGCAGCCTCGACCTCCTGGACTCAAGCGATCCTCCTGCCTTAGCCTCTCCTGGCCGGGTGTGTACTACCATACCCAGCTAATGTTTTGATTTTCCTGTAGAGATGGGGTCTCACTTTGTTGCTCAGGCTGGTCTTGAACTCTGGGGCTCAATCA